GAACTGACTTCCAAGGGTTCAAATTTGAACCCTAACTACCACTCTTCACAGCCCAGCCACTCCTACCACAAAGTGCTTGCAGTGCTACCCAACAGCAGGTGAAACATCAGTCTGTCAATCCCTCCCTTCCCCTTACAGTGACTTCTGAAAGGGCAATAAAAGGGGCACTAACCTCCTCAGCACCACCAACACCAACCATCAGACCTCTTGAGTCAAAGCCCTCTGAGCAGCCTTAGTTGTCAACTGCCTGAAGGCCAACTTTAGTAGGGAACAAAAAGAAGAAAAGTTCATCAACACCCATTCACTTACAGGAGGCAATGGCAGCATTTCAGCTTCTCTAAGGGGCAGAAGACTAGGAAGATCTATCACAACCATACTAAACCAATTCAGCACACATGGGACCAAAGTGAGGTCCTTAAAGTGAGCAGAAATTTCATCCCAAAAAGATTCCCAGAGCTTTGCTGACAATCCAAGGTGGGTCAAATCTCCCAAGCTCACAAAAATGAGTTGACAGTTTATCCAAGGACAGTCTCCCGGGACTTTACCTAATGGTAATACTGTTGCAAGCTGGAAACAAAACAGCAGCTTGCTTTTCCTTGAATTTGGGAACTTCCAACAGAGATCATAAAGTAGGAAAGCAAGTGGGTAATGAAGAAGAGCAGATAAGCTCACTGTTTTTAAAGCTCTTGGTTTGGGTTGTGGATGCAGATCAGTTTTTATTCTACCCAAATTAGGTGCTCATTCTCCACTTACACTACCACAGACCTGATTTTATGCTCACACCTAACTAACTTTTCACTAGGTCTTGAGACAACAGACTGAAGCTTTTAAATAATGCCTGTAACACACACATCAGAAAACATACAGACCTTCAGAGACACAGACCAACATGAAGTTGAGAAGGCAGAAGTCTGGTCCATGCTTGGCAGCCCCACATCATCTGAGGGCAGTAGAGGGAGATGGTACAGGACCCTTGGCCTTGTCAGAGGGTCCATGCACAGTGCAGCCATGGGAAGTTCCCACACCACTTGCTGCTTGTGACACCTACCCACTGTCCACACCTGCAAGGAGATCTGGCCCAACACCTAAGATAGAGTACTGCAGGGTGTTATTGTTAAGTGATTAGATGCTGACACAAGGCTCAACCAAGACCAGGCAGCTGCACATGGTCCCCAAAGGCCCACAAAACATACCTAAACCCAGAGTTTGAAAGTCTGGCTTTCTGCCCATACGCATGTATACCAGCCATTGTACCACTCCCCACAGCAGGCTGCAACAACATCTCTGATGTTCTGTGCATGAGCCTTGCAAGAACCAGTGCGAGCTTAAGCCTCTCTTCTCTATTGAGCCTGCAAAAATGCAGACCACCTGTTTGCAGCAAACCCCCCTGGCACTAATATGAACAAAATGGCTGCAGATACCCACTCCTGCAGGTCTTCCTGCATGCCTCCAAGCATCCTGAAGGCTGTATACGCCCCTCAGAGCTCTTTCCACAGATTCTCATGGTTTCTCAACCTGAGGCTCCAAGAGACAAATAAAGCCCTGAAACAGTGTTCAAGAGAAATCCCCCACAGTCTCTGCACAGATTCACTGCACTGAATAGGTCCACCAGAGCCTAAAGCATTACCCTTACTTTAGTTCCAAAAATAAAGCCTAATCCTGCCTCCCCCAAGAACCACAGAATGTGCAATCCCCACAGGAAGAAGTACATAGACACAGCAAACTTTGAGGAAGCATCAGCACTGTTCCTAACCAAGTTGCCATCAGCCTGTCCAGTGAGCACACAGAAGCGCAGCCACACAGCAATCCGCCCTGTGCAACACATACAAAAGACCACTAGAGCCTGGTATACGGATCCCCAGCCCCCAACTCACACAACGAGGGCTGCTACTTTTCCCAGATCCCTTTGATTAGTGGCCAGGCACTACACTTCCCACAGTACCGATACCAATCCAGAGCAGCTCTGCTGATTTCAGGGGGTATCCCTGGGTTCACAACACTTTTGCCAAGTCAGGATCTGGTAACTTTTTGTAACTCACTCATCATGACTCCATTTTATCCCATTGCATATGGCTCAAAAATTCCTCCTTACATTTGGCAGGAAAGGCTTAGATATTCCTTATCCTGAATTTGTGATCCTCATTTTTCTTTTAAGCACTAAGAAAGGATGTAAGCAGATTCTGGAAAGCCATGAGTCAGTGCAGTGAGCCAGACTGCAAGCTCCAGCTCAGAATCCGACCCTCAGGACCAGAAGAGAGAAAAGCAAATAATGAACCGAAAAGCATTTTAGGCAAATCATGTTTGTACAGTACCTGGCACAGTGGGGTTCTAGCCTGGCAAGGGCTGGGAGACTGCACACATACAAAGGTAACTAGACAGACAAGCAAATGCCTATGTAGTTAAACATGAACCCCGTTAAAAGTAAATACTTTTAAAGGACAGATATATCTACCTTTATCCACCTTTCTGTATTGCCTATTGAATTCTGCAGAACAACCCTGAGAGCAAAGAAACAGGACTTCAGTAAGAGGAACACAGCCTAGGCCAGCTCAACTGAGCACATTGGCTGAGAGGAAACTGGCCAGGCATAATAAACACTGCAAGCTACTAGTTTCTCAAGGCCCCGTTATTAGTTACCTGAAGGCTGCAAAACGGGCTCTTCTTACCTTTAGCTGGAAAGGTTGAATTTCGTTCAAACTCTGGTTCCTGAGCTTTTTGGTGAGGATCTTCAGCATGGTACAAATCCGAGGAGCTAAGAAAGGGTTAAGCATAGACGCACGCCT